TAATTACCAGGGTGCACCCACAAGAGGAGCAGTCACACACAGCACTGTTTACTCGCTGAACCAGGCCTCCAGACTGTGGTGTACTATTTACGACACACAATTCTCTCTTTCCCTAGCCCCCCTCCAAGCGACGCAGCTACACGACGCGGCAACACGACGGCTCCCTTGCGTTGTGCCATCGGGTCGAACCGTCGCCTTCTTGCGATTTCATTTGTACACATACGACGCGTTGCGTCGTGCCGTCGCCTGTCGCATCGTGCTGTCTTAGGTCCTTTCCTTGTTGCATTTTTTTCTGCCTAAACGTCGACCCTTCCGTCGCGTCCTGCTGTCGTGCGTCGCGTCGTGCGTCGCGTCGTGCTTCAAACGAAATGGCAAGAAGGTAACGGTGCAACCCGACGGCACGACGCAAGGGAGCCGTCGCGTCGGGTGGTTGCCCCGCCTGGAGGGAGGCTAAAGAGAGAGAGAAATGTTTGTTGTAAATAGTACACCATACCAGACTGCATCAAAATTTCCACGAAACTGCCTACCATGGCACAAACTAGACACCACATAAACTTGCGCCACTCCCGCGCGACCTTAAACATGTACATTTACATGGGACAATACGTACAGATTAATGCTAATGTACACGGGTTCCAATACAATGGTGTCGCACATTCTCTGCGCCTATACAAAGATAAGAATAATGTCATCTTTTAAATAAAACCTTAACTTGTTACAGCCATTCTGTCACACTTGCATTGCACTGTGTGCCCTAAATCTATATCTGCAGTCATTGCCCTTAATGAGCTCATTCCTCTGGAGTTATTTGGAGAATAAATAGCCCGGATGTGTACCAGGTTTTGTGTTTTGTTATTACTCATTTTTATAATGGTATTTGTACAAAAACGTATTTTTCGAGATTTCACAATCACTGCCTGTGATGAAATAGTGCATTTTGTTCATAGTGAACTAAGTTTTCCGGTAGTAGTGAACATTTTGTTGGCCAGTCTTAGCCAAATTTGTACCAAGTCTTTGAACACTGATGTATTGGAGGGAGGAGAATAAAATTACAAACTTTGCATGGATAACGGAACTGTGTATCAAAATTTTAAAAGTTAATATTTACGATGGCAAAAGTAGGTCCAGGAATACCAGGGATTCTTCTCTCTCTATTTCCTGGTTACATCGATAGTTTGTATTTGATTGCATTTAATTTAATTTAAGGATGTTACTGGCCCTGCTTGCCCGGCTATAGATGCGGGCAGTAATCGGACATTGTTGGAATCTTTTCTATTATTCGTTTGACTCTGCGGCGACCATCATTGAACACTTTGAAGTGCCTGAGTTGCAACTCCTTCTGTGTCCTTCCTCTATGGTACGAGCTATGATTTATAAGTCGTACGTACGAGATGCAAGTCGTACGTTCAACATAAAAGTCGTACGTACGAGTTACGTACGAGATAGAAGTCGTACGTACGAGATGCAAGTCGTACGTTCAACATAAAAGTCGTACGTACGAGTTACGTACGAGATAGAAGTCGTACGTACGAAATAATAGTGATTACATACCTTCCTTTCAACCACGCGCAAGCGCACGTGCGAACACTGCATACCTGACTAGTTAATCTTGAATAGGAGAATACTATCACAACACTATGCACTGTTACCAGCACGTCACATCATAGGTCAAGCACGATCGTGGCCTCGCCGGAAAAAGTCTATTGACCATTGTTCTTTTCAAACAATCAACTTTTTATCCAGGGAATTCTGTGGCGAATAGGGAGATTTATGGGGTACAGACAGGAACACAATAAAACCTAGGTTTTCAATCCTAGAGTCACTGAGTAGTGCAGAAGCAGTGGCGTGCTGTATAAACCAACTAGACCGCACCGAATAAGTAAGGTGAACGCCAGCGACCGCGGCAGAGTGTTTATATCTGTTTAATTCGCTAAAATTCATGCTACTAAAATGGTGCACATCAAGTTCCTTCTACTGGTGACATTGAGCTTAGCTGGTTTGGCTTTGGCGCGGGTAGAAAGATTTGTAAGTTTGTTTAAGTAAGCATCAGGTGATAAATATCTGTAGCCATGTTAGACTAAAGCAAATTAAAATGGTCTTAGTGTAAACTGCTGGCATAAGCAGGTGATAGGCAACTGTCTATTTCGCTTCACTGTCTGTTTTGTGATGAGCATTATGTTATTCATTATAGACACAAACTATAATAATTCTCCAAATTGATGCCAACCATGCTAGGATAAAGTTTCGTGACATTTTATCTTACTTTCCATTTTTTCAAGTTTTTTTTTTGCCGTGTCCTCAAAACCATCTCACTGTTGAAGTGGGATTCATTACCATTAGCACCCTGTTCCTGTAATAAGGAAACAAAGTCCAATTTAGCAAACTAACTAACATTTTGACCTTAAGGAACCATTACTCAATAGGCCTAGTTTAGGTAAATTTTGACAATATTTAAGCAAAAAGACTACTCAAATTCCTAACCCGAGTTTGGCAAAAGACAACCACTCAGTCAAATGACGCAATTTTGTTTTTCGCCTGGTTTAATACCCGACTCGGGCTTTTTGGATTCATCAAAACTAATCTCCATCCAGGTCAAAGACCCAGACTGCATTCATTTTGCTTATTTGGTGTTCACAAGTTTCATTGGGGCAGTCATTTACGCTGCTGTTTTACCCCTAAAGTTCTCTCAAAAACCAAAAGCACTGTTTGTTTTTCTTTTTGATATGATAGAGGACATCACCAACAATTTGTTTAGATAAGTTATTTTGAAAAAAGTAGAATTTGTTCCCTTATAATAGGAATAGAGTGCTAAAGGTAATGATCCCCATTGAAGTTGAACAATGAACTTCAACATTGTTACCTGATAGAGAGCACGAGCTGACAAATGGTTTTATTTTGTGGCGGATAACCGGGAGCAAGAAAAAGCTGGTTACTTTGGCATACTACTTCCATTTGGAGTAATATTTACAATAACTAGCAAAGTAACCATGGTTGGGAAAATAAATGCAAGTATTGTTAGAAAAAAAATGAATTCCAAGCACTCATTCAGTCCAAGATGGCCCATCCGGTTGTTATGAATAAACTGTAATCTCGAGCTCACAGAACCATTTGTCACGATTCTCTGACGAGTTAAACAATACCCGTTCTTGTGTTTACGGTCTATGGAGATTATACCCCCAAAGAATTAAAGAAACAAATCGAATCGTAACCAGTGTACGGATATGAATTATGCAATTTTCATGAAGCATTAATGAATGAGATCTCGTTTTCTATCAAAATTCACTTAAAGTACAAAAGTACTTAGTTTGAAAACTTGCATTTTTCGTTGTTTCTTTCGTGTATTATACGGTACTCTTCATACAGGGGGGCAGAACTGTTTAGCATTATTTTTCTTTCACCTGCTGACCGTCATTTCTCCTCATTATGCACAAATGCACTCTAGAACGAAGTGGATCGTCATCTTTTGGAATTATTGAAGCGTTTGGAAGACCGTCAAATCAAGGAATCGGCCCCCGATTCAATCACGGAAGAAATATCATGTATGTATGATGTAAGGTAAATGGTTGGGGGGAAAAAGTGGTATTAGTTTGCTCTTGAACTTGGATCTCTTGTACATGTATAGCGTTTTTCTGTGCACGTTTTATGTACTCTCAGTCTTTCACAATAGAGCCTGAAAGTTGACCCGTCATGGCACGCTTGGATAGGAAAAATAACGGGCAAACATTGTAGAAATTGTAAGATGTTTGTCATTCACTTATTTCTTAAAAAGTCCAACTCGGAAAAGGGGCTTTGGGAAAATAATTGCTAGTGTATCAGTTTATAGAAACTGAAAAATTACCAGACCTAAAAGAGAAATATGCTGCCAAAAATTGACCTATCACTTCCAAAGATCTAAAATACAGGAAGAATAGTCCAATGCGGCAGTCTTGTACGCCGATGAACATTTACGGTTTGAAATCTGGTGGTAGTCTTCGGTAAAAGCCGAAATAAAAAAGATCAAATATTTTATGAACTTTTTCAATTTATAAGGTAATAAAGTTAAAGCAATAATCTACTTTTACAAAGGATTCTAATATTTTATCTAATTTTTGCTGACATCAACTGTGTGTGTTAACTCAATGGGATTTGGGACCAATCGCCCACAGGTAAGCAAATCTTTGCAACTCTCTACAATCTCGTTTTCGCGTAAGCAAGGGGGGTAGTGAAAACAAACGTCGAGGTTCAATAAGTGCCAAAGGCGTCACCGTCCATACCAAGAAAGCAAACCTTCAAATTTCCACTTAGTCCCAGTGCATTTTGACGAATGCAAAGACACCAGGGATTGTTGAAGATTTTCTTGACTATTCATTTCATCATTTACCCACATTATAAATCCACAAATTAAGGTACGAAACAAGAAAAGGCTATCCAAGAATTGCAACCGTCAATACTGGTAACAATAAAAACTTCGGAGTTTAAAGAGAGATGCATCCACTGTAGGTTTTAGACGCAATCTGCAATCATGACAACCACTTGGTTTCCTTGATCAGTTTCGGCCAACAGAAATAAGATGCAAGGCTGTTGGCAGTGAATCGTTTGGACTGGTGTATAATTTTTGAGAATGCGATATTTTTGAAGGTCACAATTTTTGATCTAGTCTACATACATCACAAACCACTAAGCGTTCCATGCAAACCTCGAACCTTGGTAAATTCACCACCGTGGAATCAGACATGTCGACAAGCACATCTTTATTTACAAATAATTTCTGTCACTAAAGAGGCCAAAGAAGATTGAAATCTTTGTCTCAGCCTCTTTTTTACAAACGTAGAACCTTCCAGTTGACTTTGACCAAATTGCTGATGAATAAGAAGATGATAAAGAGTTACAACATCTCCGAAAAGCATCATCCCTTCAGTTTGTACATACTGTCATTACTCTGTTATAGTACGCAAAGGACGTGGATGTAAAGTAAACCCTAATTGCTATAAAACCTGTCTCAATCTATCGTCTGTACTGAGGACCTTGGTTAATTTATTCTTTCCTCCGTGGTGAGTCTGGTTAGCATAACCACAATGTCGCTGACAACTCTCATTCTGCCTAGCACACATTTGACGTTGTAACTTCAGTGTTAACATCTCGAATTGTGAAGCAACAAGCAAATCTAAATTGAATTGTTCTATTTTACAGCGAGGGGTACGACCGCTCCAGCTATAGGTATCGATCTTGGCACCAGCTACTGTCGTGTTGGCGTTTTCCGGAACGGAGAAGTGGAGATCATCCCCAATGAACAAGGCAACCGGAACACGCCCAGCTATGTCGCCTTCACCGATACCCAGCGTCTAATCGGAGATGCGGCAAAAAAACAGGCGGCAATGAACCCCTCCAACACAGTGTATGGTAAGGCGGAGTGGAAGGAGATTGGGGGTAAAATGGAGCCCCAGGTAAAACGGAAAACCTATGATATCTTGAAAACGGCGCCCTGGTTCTAACACTAACGGTACAAAGTCACTGCCATGATTCTTAATTAATGTCTGACCTTATAAGCAGCTTCAGTAAAATGTCAGTTGATCTTATTTGATTTGAACTAACATGTCGTCTCAGTTTGGTCAGTTGAAAAAAATATATATACCAATTTCTCACTCTTTTTACTCAAGAAAAAAAGGTCTGTTTAATCGTGTTGCGTTTTTCGGGGGACATCCGGCATTGTGTTTTTATAGACCTGTAAAATGTACTTTTTTGTAAATTCATTTTTAAGCATAATTATAAGAACCTGTTAGTATTAAATGGACCACTGGCGTATCCTTTGGTTTAAAGGGGCAAAACAGATTTTTCTCTGAAAGTGACAGTCTAATTTTTAATTAAGTTTAATTGGTAAGAATGCTGGTGTCGTGCTATTTTAGATGTAGTTCTATTTTTATTAATGTTTGTAAGAATTTCAATGAAAATTAGGGTTCGCGGAATGTTTAGCTGCAATACATATAATGATATTATGATGCATTCCCCCTAACATATTGTGTATTTTGGCAAAGCAAAATGTTTGTTATGACACCAAGCTTCTACCGTTTTTCTTCCCGTCACGCAGTGTTACCCTATAAAGAGGGTACTTCTTACCTTACACTTGGAAGAAATGGACCTGTTGTAAAGTTTATCACCATGGCAACGTTTATCCACGACCTCCGTCCTGAGTCACTTTTTAAAAAGTCGCGTGACTCTTCAGAACCTCATTCAACTGAATTTATGACACATCCAACCACACTAAATTTGATTGGAATCACGAAAGTAACCTAGAACTTTAGGTCAAGTCAAATACTTCATGAATACTAGTTTTTCATGATTTGCTTTCTTTAAAACAGAGCCTCTGCTATGTTGACTGCATGGCTCTGTTATTTAAAATCTATTATCTAT